TGCTTTTTCCATGACCAATTATCTGTCATGTGTTGCTTCTATCCGGAAGCTGACAACTGAAACTAATTGACAAAAACGTGATCGGGAATCAAAATTCGTCATTTTACTGTTTTAGCACCTTCGTTACAATTCATAACGAGCCAGACTCACCGATCGATAGTCTCAAATCACAAGTAGCATTTCCCCAGCTGGGTATTTTCAAATGACTGCATGACATGTGAGGGATAGTTATATTTAATCATGAAAAATGTACGTCATGAATATGATCTATCAAACGCTTGATCACATCCTCTGTCCTGATAGTAAAGAAAAAGAGTTAAACGGACAATAATAATATCTACTTTATGTGACCAACGACAACGACAACAACAACAACAACAACAACAACAACAACAACGACAACAACAACAACGACAACGACAACGACGACGACGACAATATTAATTGATAACAAACAGTTTCTTCTTCTTTCAGATCTCGTTTTTTTGTTTTCGGTCGTTAAGGAAGAAAACGTAAAACCAGACTTGGTCCTGGCTATAGAAAATGAGGTAAGATACAGATTCATTAAAACCTCTTTCATCACGAGTGACGGTATTACATTGTCTACAATAAGGCCCAGAAGAAAATCTGTTTCTTTAAAAAAATAGCATCCATTTGATTTCCATGGTTAGTATACATTCTCTGCAGTATAACTTCATCTATCTGGATCCTATATATAGACATTATGTGATTGTTTGCTTTGTTTGCAAAGCTCTTTACTATTGTTAAGCAACTACTATCAGAACCAATACTGATGACTTCTTAGGGAACAGGATCGATTCCCGATTTCAACATCTCGGCTATTTCCATTGTTCCGAATTTTAACGGAGATATTTCGATGATATTGATTGTTTTGACGTTTGCAAGTTATATTCTGTAAACACTCCATCTGTAAATTATATATTGATGTGGAACCCGGAAAGTTATGAAGCCTTGTAGTTGTTATGTTAGGATATCGGTTCATCTCATATTATGACCACGGCAGAAGGCCAAACGTGATTGCGTCCTTGAGCAAGACTTTTTACCATTATCGGTAAAATGGATTCAATTATATAGAGCATGATATGGTCTGGGTTTGCTATTTATGTTTCTGTTTTGTAGTATTATAGCCTATGTTTATATAAAAGCGTTGTTAAAAATACGGACCCATAAAATATGGAGTATTCTTCTCTTAAGTTTAGATATGAGGCAGCGCTTTCCATTGCCGATGCCACTAAATGAAACGTAATATAACCTCCGACATTACTGACAAGCCCGCTAACAAACGGTTAGATGTAGAAAACCATGAGTTTCCATGCTATTCAGAAAATTTTCATTGCAGTCATCTGTTGAATATCAGTCTTATCTGCTTTTTTTAAACATTGAAAACTTATTTCGATGGACCAGTGTTTCATGATTGTACGAAAGCTTGAATTTTGACACATACTATAGAATTCTTTTTGTAATTTTGATTTCAAAGGTATTTTAATTTTCGCGAATTCCAGCCTATCCCGAAACACATCCAAAAATCGAACCCACGAAAATGATAGCTTTTAGAGTAGTTCGCACTTTATATGTTTCACTGTCCTATTATATGACGAACTAAATGTAGTTCAATCAATTTGTATATTACCGTACGGTGTTTCCGAGAAAATAAAACGCTCAGAATCGCTTTAGAATTACTCCAGACAAAACCCAATTCAGTAAGTATTGTTATACAAATATATTATATCGTCGAGATTTGACCCTCAAAAGACCCAATGTTTTACTGGTAGTAACCGTCTACGTTGCCGGACAAGGAAATGATTTATTGACTTGTCCGGAGAATTTCTACCGGAATAGCAACCAAATCCTTTCCGACTCGCGCTGATTCCCGGCTAACTCCAAAGGAAATTCCATTGGAACATTCATTGTACAGATATCGATTTTTTATCATTACAGAAATGGTTTCCAATGAGTAATAACCTGTATTCATTCGTATCTAACCGGAAGTGTCACACAATCATTGTAGGTCATCTTCAGTTTTTACTGATATACAGACATATGTTACATATAAGAAATATCCACCCTAATTTCAGTCTTTAGATATACAAAAGGTATTATAATAAAAATTAATATGATTTTAATTATAGTGAATGATACAGTCTATCTGCCCCTTACAAGGTAATGGTTTGTGGTCGCTATCGACAGATGTTGTCTCATTATACAAGGTAAAGGTTTGTGGTCGCTATCGACAGATAATGTATTATTATACAATGTAAATGTTTGTGGTCGCTATCGACAGATGCTGTCTCACTATACAAGGTAAATGTTTGTGGTCGCTATCGACAGATGCTGTCTCACTATACAAGGTAATTGTTTGTACATTGCAATTTCGATGGTGTAATAACATGCATAAAATGCGAAGTTTTGTGATCGCTTTAGACAGACAAATGTTGCCTCACAATATACAGTAAGTGTTTGGTGGTCGCTATAGAGAGGAGTTGCATTACATGTATTCATGATGAAATTTGTGACCGCAACGTATGTTTTAATCGGCGCTGATTTGTTCTCAATAGAGTGAAACCATGACACGTTTTTTTGTTCCTGCTTTACCTCAAGAATGGGAAATTAACCTGACGTTCGCCGTTGCAGAGAAACGATTTTAATTATGTTGTATTTGGTAACTTATAATCGACAATAAACTTCACAAGAAGACATTTTCGAAAAAGATAACACAGTGATCCCATTATTGTAGTCAACGACCCAATCTGACCATATTTGTTGCGAATCAATCAATCAATCAAATAATCAATCAATCAATCAATCAATCAATCAATTAATCAATCAATTAATCAATTAATAAATCAATCAATTTACTATGCAGTTACATTTGTATGTTATTTTTGTGACAAGCTCCCTTAATTATTTCTTCTGTTCCTGTTATAAGCTTTGAAGCTGATAATTCCATAATATCCGTGATATTGAGGGTGTGATGAAGTAATACTACGAAATGTGTTATTTTCAAATGATTCATAATTTCGTTTTTTTCGGGGGAGGGGTGGGATAGAATGAAATCGAGAAAATAAAAACCCAACATGAAGGTAATACAGAAATTATAAAGGAAAAATCCGATTCGTTCCATAATTTCTGCAAAAATACACTGTTCTGCTCCAAACCTTTAACCGCGAAAAAGTTTAGCATAGAAAAACAAGTGAATGGTAAATCTTTTTTTTTTAAGTTTAATTAAAAGATCACAAAAATACCCGATTCACATTATCTTTATATTTTTACGTACATTTTTTTAATTGTTCTGACTAGACAAAGGATAAATGAATTCTAACGTCAAATGTTGACCTGAAGTCTTTCGTTGCATTCTCAGATAAGATCACATGTCCTCGACGTATACGTGTTTTTCAGTCGTCATTTCCGTGGAACCAATCCCCGATTCTACCGTTCAGTCGATCTCGGAGTTTCAATTGATGGCACGCATGCAATGCGGTCATATATCAACTGTTATTGTAGTCTGATCAGACGCTGAGAGGTCAGGAAGTGAAATCATTTTAAAACAAATATGCTGAGGTTTGCTTAAAGTCTACAAAGTTCCGTACAAGTAAGACAGAAATGCATTTCCCGTATTTCCTTGAGGGTTTCGTGTCCTACACCGACAATCGAATAATGTTATTTTTTTGATAGGCTTGGACGAGATAATCGTAAAATTGAACCAACCACAGAACAAGTGAGATTACATAATACGTAAATGACTGTTCGATGTTCGAGTTATGTTTTTCTGTGAGGTAAATTTATCCATATTGTTATCAATTTAGTACTGAATAAATCTATTAAACATTAAATGTATAAATTCATATATTGTTCTCTCGTTTATTGCTATTCATTTTAATTTTGTTACAATCCGTAACATTGTTACAATAGGTGTCTGGTGTTTGGTACATATACACTAGCTCATTCCGGATAAACGAATTACGTATTTCCATTTTATTAAAGTAATACTTTAAACGAACTTTTTGTAAATCTCATGCTGACGCGTGATTCGGTGTCAACTTTCTGTGATAACAAACGGATTTACGCATGGTATTGACGTACATGGTTTAATTTCTTGGTAATATTTGTTTCCTTCAGATAAAACTGTGTGAAATCACACTTTTCCTGGTAAAATGATTCAACCCTTTATTTAGTTCAAATCGATAACAGATAATAATGAAATGTCAAATAAGGATCATGTGAAATATAATACCACGTGATTTATTAATCTGCTAACCATGAAAGCATAGCATGCCTATGTCTCGTGTAAATATTTGCTTAAATGAAACACACAGCTGTTGATATTTCTATGTACAATTTATCCATATTTTTGTACATTGACCTTGTGAAAATAAGATTTTTGTTTTCCTGCTTTAACATCCATTCCTGACTTGGCTTTATACACTATTATAAGACTTTACATGTACTTATCGATTTAGATATCAATTCATTTCAAAAAGTCGTGGTTTGGTATTGATTTATCAAAGGCCGATGAAAAAAGGACAAAAAATAAATTTAATGTACAGGTTTAATTTCAGGTGTTGCTTTATTAGTAGTATATTAGTAGATTTTGTAAAATAATCGACTAGAAATAATTATGTTAGAATTATTTTTTCTGAATTCACGAATTTTCGAGAACGTGCCAATGAATATTGTTCGTCTTTACATGTAGCTACGTAGATGTTTATTGGTCACACCCGAAATACAAAAACGCAAAAAAAAAAAAAAAAATGATGATAATTGGTTGACGAAACTTATCATTCATGAATATGTGGTCTTCGTGTAAAACAAGTGCGTTACATGTAACGTGACTATAAATAACAGTTCTAAGATAGGAAAATAATGTCCATCCGAACTTTGAAAAAACAGGTAACGTCACGTGGGCGGAAGTGACATCACAATGAGACGGAAACGTTGGAGGCGTCATTTTGTTTATGACGGAACTTTTCTCAAGTTACAAGATGAATGAAATGGAAGACATGGACCATATCGGACAGCATCTTCAAATGAATGACATGCGCAAGAAAGGGCTTTTCACAGACGGTCTCATTCATATACCAGCCGAAAATGTATCTTTACCCATTCACAAAGCAATCATGGCGAGTTGTAGCAACTATTTTAGATCTTTGTTTACTTGGGGAATGTGCAATCGTGAATATGAGAATGATGTCCTCATAACTGGCGTATCTGCCAAAACTATGGAAGCCGTCATTGACTACGCGTATATTCAAAGTGTTGATATACACGCAGGAAACGTCGAAGACCTCATAGCGGCTGCCGACCGTTTTCATATGTTTGGACTTCAAAAAAATTGTACAGATTATCTTGTCAATGAACTTACAGTTGAAAATTGCATTGGTATTAAGATGTTTTTTGATTTCTATTCTTGCACAAACGGATTGAAAAGAACAAATGAATTTATCTCGCGACATTTTACAGATATTGCAGAGACAAGTCAAGAATATCTACAAATGAATTTCGAAAATCTAAAGGAAATTATTAGCAATGACGAAATCTATGTTTCTGACGAGAGTGAAGTTTTGAGTGCAGTACTAAGGTGGATAAAACACGATATGGAAAACCGAAAATGTCATTTTGCGGAATTATTAAGTGTTGTGAGACTAACTTTCGTAAATCAATCATATTTTGATGTCTTCCTTACGACGACTCATGGGATTTTTAATCAGTGCGCAAATTCCAGATCAATCTTAGAAAAAGCAAAGGATCTGAAAAACCGGATACGGAGCACTGATTCGATAATCTGTGATCCATACGAGAACATGCTCCGACCTCGTGTTCCGCGTGAAGTTCTTTTCGTCGTCGGTGGATGGTCGAGTAGTGGCGTTGTAAATTCTTTGGAAACCTTCGACCGGTACACCGGAAGATGGTATGATGCTGTCTCGCGCATGCCCAACACGCGAGCATACCATGCCACTGTCCCACTTGGTAGTGTAATCTACGTTATCGGTGGCTACGATGGCGCCAGATATCTGGCCTCTGTAGCATGTTTTTGCACAGCCACGCAAACTTGGGAAAACAAAGCGCGTATGCATTTTCAGCGATGTTATGTTGCTGGTGTGGAACTTAAAGGCAAAATTTACGTGTTTGGAGGATTCGACGGCAGACAGCGTCACGACACTGTGGAATGTTACGACGCAAAATCAAATCAATGGAACGATGTGCAACCGATGCTCCAGTGCCGAAGCGATTGTGGGGCCACGGTGTCTGGGTGTCTAATATATGTAGCAGGTGGTTTTGATGGAACTCATTGTCTGTCTTCAGTTGAGGTGTACAACCCATCTACCAACCATTGGACAATGTTGACAAACATGTCAGTTCCTCGTAGTGGCGTGTCCATTATGGCGGTCGATGGCGTCATATTTGCTATTGGCGGATATGACGGGAGCATACGGCTTCGGTCAGTTGAAGAATACAAACCGTTTCGGAATGTTTGGTCCGAGGTCGAAAGTATGAATGTCGGTCGCAGTAACTTCTCTGCAATCCTCTTCGATCAGAAAATTTACGCCATTGGTGGATATGACGGTTCTGTGACGTCATCTCACGTGGAATGCTTTGATTCCAAGACAAAGAAGTGGTCCCAGAAGTGTCCACTTAAGACCGGAAGAAGTGCATTAAGTGCTTGTGTCGTCAGCGACATGAACAATGCCAAAGAATTCACGTGTCTAGGACGAGATGCTTTGGTCACTCAATCACCAATAAATGAATAGATAAAATATAAACTTCAAATTAAAAAGAAAGAAATATATAACGACTGAAGATCTCTAGAAGGAAAAAATCAGAAAGATTAAATCGATTTCACAAAATTTTTGTAATTCTATTTTATGATAACTAAAACACCGAATTGATTTCCCTGGCCTAACGAAGTACGCAGAGAGAGATGAACCCATTGATTACGTAATGACCCAAATACTCAGATAAAGCTTCTCCTTACAATTTGTCACGCACATGTTTGTTTAATAAATATCCCATGGACCAGCAACGTGTCTACATAGTTGCTAGTATTTGTTTTAGGTAAATAGCAGCAGCATAAGTCAACATTGGAAGATTCGACAAGCGTCATTAAACTTCCATATGTTTAAAAATCAAATATTTTTTTTCCCGTAGATGTTGTAGTGAAAACCGTGGAAGTTATCTCCTTTGGTTGGACTGACTTGACATGACAGCACTTTCTTGACTTCTAACTTCCAAAGTAAACGGACGTATTCTTCAAACGTGAGTAAACCTCGCTGTATCACTTATTAGTTGGGAGCTGGGAGAAATTCTACAGGGTTCAGTGTGTAACCGCGTACTGAAATACTCTACAGTATTAAGTAACATTTGTGTTTTATTATCTGATGATGACAGATTTTAATCCAAGATTCTACAGTAGATTTCTTCTGTTTGAGGATGAAACACAATATGTACTCTCATTATTTTATCTGATAACAAATTTTAAAGAGTATCTCCTCATATTGATATCGACTTATTAGTCTCTACCAGAGAAACCGGAAAGGGAGGGGAAGCCTTGGTTTTCCTTTCCGCCCAAGCGTCCCTGCATCTGTGAAAGTGGTTTGTCAGTGTCATGGCGGCTTCAGCCCCGGAGAGATATTCATCAAACTTCTTTCACTTATTAAGCATCAAAATATCTTGAACAACTTTGAGTTTAATTGTTTTGGGTCAAGGTCATGGTCACTGTAACTATTTTTTTTAGAAAAAAATGATTGTCTGCGCTCTAGAGGCTTAATGCCGTGAGTGATTTTGATCAAATTACACACCCTTATTAAGTAACAAAATATCTTGGACCTATGATTCTCATGGTTATCGGGTTAACGTCAAGGTCGCTGTTGCTATTAAAAAAAACCTTTTTAAATCTTTACATTGTAAATAGCTTGTGGAGGTCGACTGGGGACATGTATTACTTTATTTCCTATTTTAGCTATGTCTATTTTTGAAGTAATTACAGCATAACAGTCAATTCCATTTAACACAGAATCAAACAACATTAATTTTTCAGGCATTACGCATGCGCTCTCGTCACACTGTACCTTAACCATACATTTAGATCAGCTGATACTTGCACCTGCTTTCCTTATGCGCGCGCCCAGAACATAAACAAATGTTGTTTATTCGACATTAATGCTTCCTGATTTAGCGACAAGCTGTCACTATTGAAAAATCAATAAATAATAAAAATCTACAAATTAATGTTTAAATAGACAGACATTATGTGTTTATTTTGTTCAGATAAACACGAACATATTATCAATTACTTATTTTCCTAGACGTCGAAAACGAACGCCTACGGGAAACATGTTTAATGTATATGCTTTTTTAACGCTAAATATTTGTGTTGATGAGAAGAGAAAACATTTTATTATGAATTCTCCGAAGATACAATCACTGGATGTTAACTGTAACTCGTGATTATCATTAAGCACGTACATGTATACAAATGCTTTGCTAGAAGTGGACGTCATCCAATATAGATAAAGTCAGTTTGCGAGTGTGATGATTCAATGGCATTCATATTCCTATAAATATATGTTTTAGTAGTTTTTATCTGGAGAGAAACTAGAGTCATACCCAACGGTTATCTTTCATACTTCATTAGTGATTATCAGAGATAGCATACGTTGTACAAACATCACGAGACCGGGAAATACAATCCTCGATAGAAGAACCATGCTATTGATGAAAATGATGAGCTGTTATTTTCACACTATTGATTGTGATATATATAAACGATTATTTGTGTTCGTGATGAAGTGCAGAATTTTACTCTAGAAGAACATGTGCTGTATATCATTTGCATAAAATAAGACACCAGTTTTGTGTAACGAGTATTTAAGCAGAGCAAATGCAATGTGCCTTATTCTCACGAGACTGGTTTGTTTTATGCGAATGTAACACCACCTGAACCGGGGTTTTCCTAAAACAGGAAATGATATATAAACGAAACGGAATGCAGTTCAGTTCGATTCGTTTCTATTTTGTTTGTATTTTTATCAATTTCTGGTTTTTACAGACAAAACATCGTCACAGAAATCAGGCAAAACCCGAAAGAACTTAGTTGCAAATATATTTTATATTTTCCTCCTGAAAATGGTGTTTTGCTCTGGCTATTTGAGTAATTTTTGTGTGTATTTGTTTTTTTCTCAAATAGCAGGACACAATGTAAATTACATAAACATGGATACAGATTTCGTATGTAAACCTAACCCATCAACAATGAAAAGAAAAACTAGCACTTGGGACTTATCGCTCAATAAATCTGCTTTGACAATATTTTACGATCTCAAAGATATATATAAGGCGATATTTTCTCAAGTATGAATTGTGTATTTGTTCGTCTGCTGCAATATATAGTAGGTGATGGTTCCCTCACTGAACAACTTCCGAGAGGCCCGTTGCATGCTATCTAGAACAATTAGGGTAAAATATGTTACCTAAGAACACAATCACGATAAAACCGATCGATCCGTTTCCCAGATCCTGAGGAACAATAACCGGCAGGAGAACAACACTCTATCGCCTGAGCTACCTCGGTCGCCATTACATCAGTATAGAAATAAAGTCACGCAACAAAAGGAGTTCCGAATGAAACAAATGAGTTTAGATATAACATCTTGTTTTCGCGTCATCGCTATATTAGGTCATTTCAGAATTAAGAATTGACCACATCGCCTCTATTAATACGCATTAAATATGAAATTGAAAAAAGCGAAGCCTGTATACCAATATTTTAAACAAAAATCAAGACCAGCTGTTCGCAAATGACCCCGTTGCCTGTTCACAAATGACCCCGGTGGCTGATCAGAAATGAACCCGTTTGCTTTTAACAATAACCCCGGTGGCTGTTCACAAATGACCCCGGTGACTGTTCACAAATACCCCGGTTGTTGTTCACAAATGACCCCGTTGCCTGTTTACAAATGACCCCGACTGCTGTTCACAAATGACCCCGTTGACTGTTCACAAATGACCCCGGTGCCTGTTTACAAATGACCCCGGCTGCTGTTCACAAATGACCCCGTTCACAAATGCCTGTTTACAAATGACCCCGGCTGCTGTTCACAAATGACCCCGGTGACTGTTCACAAATGACCCCAGTTGTTGTTCACAAAAGACCTCGTTGCCTGGTTACAAAGGACCCCGGCTGCTGTTCACAAATGACCCCGGTGACTGTTCACAAATGACCCCAGTGACTGTTCGTAAAAGAGCCCGGCTGCTGTTCACAAATGACCCCGGTGGCTGTTCACAAATAACCCCGGTTGTTGTTCACAAATGACCCCGGTGGCTGATCAGAAATGAACTCGTTTGCTTTTAACAATAACCCCGGTGGCTGTTCACAAATGACCCCGGTGGCTGTTCACAAATACCCCCGTTGTTGTTCACAAATGTTCCCGTTGCCTGTTTACAAATGACCCCGACTGCTGTTCACAAATGACCCCGTTGACTGTTCACAAATGACCCCGGTGACTGTTCACAAATGACCCCGTTGCATGTTTACAAATGACCCCGGTGACTGTTCACAAATGACCCCGGTTGTTGTTTACAAAGGACCCCGGCTGCTGTTCACAAATAACCCCGGTTGTTGTTCACAAATGACCCCGGTGGTTGATCAGAAATGAACCCGTTTGCTTTTAACAATAACCCCGGTGGCTGTTCACAAATGACCCCGGTGGCTGTTCACAAATACCCCGGTTGTTGTTCACAAATGATCCCGTTGCCTGTTTACAAATGACCCCGACTGCTGTTCACAAATGACCCCGGTGACTGTTCACAAATGACCCCGGTTGTTGTTTACAAATGACCCCGGCTGCTGTTCACAAATAACCCCGGTGACTGTTCACAAATGACCCCAGTTGTTGTTCACAAAAGACCTCGTTGCCTGGTTACAAAGGACCCCGACTGCTGTTCACAAATGACCCCGGTGACTGTTCACAAATGACCCCGGCTGCTGTTCACAAATGACCCCGGTGGCTGTTCACAAATAACCCCGGTTGTTGTTCACAAATGACCCCGGTGGTTGATCAGAAATGAACCCGTTTGCTTTTAACAATAACCCCGGTGGCTGTTCACAAATGACCCCGGTGGCTGTTCACAAATACCCCGGTTGTTGTTCACAAATGACCCCGTTGCCTGTTTACAAATGACCCCGGCTGCTGTTCAAAATGACCCCGGTGACTGTTCACAAATGACCCCGGTGACTGTTCACAAATGACCCCGGCTGCTGTTCACAAATGACCCCGGTTGTTGTTCACAAATGACCCCGTTGCCTGTTTACAAATGACCCCGGCTGCTGTTCACAAATGACCCCGGTGACTGTTCACAAATGACCCCGGTTGTTGTTTACAAATGACCCCGTTGGCTGATCAGAAATGAACTCGTTTGCTTTTAACAATGACCCCGTTGACTGTTCACAAATGACCCCGGTGACTGTTCACAAATGACCCCGTTGCCTGTTTACAAATGACCCCGGCTGCTGTTCAAAATGACCCCGGTGACTGTTCACAAATGACCCCGGTGACTGTTCACAAATGACCCCGACTACTGTTCACAAATGACCCCGGTGACTGTTCACAAATGTCCCCGGTGCCTGTTTACAAATGACCCCGGCTGCTCTACACAAATGACCCCGGTGACTGTTCACAAATGACCCCGGTGGCTGTTTACAAATAATCCCGGTTGTTGTTTACAAATGACCCCGGTGGCTGTTCAAAAATGACCCCGCTTGCTTTTCACAAATGACCCCGGTGGCTGTTCACGGGGCGATAAACCCAACAAATATTGTTTCTAATAATAATGATAAAGCATATATCTTTATACAACTCGTTTTTATGGTTTCTACAAGAAGTTCGGAATATGTATTCTTTGAAGCACTTTAATAGCGTGAAGTTGTGTTTGATAAAATATTCCCATGGCCTCACTGTATTTTCGTTGTAATTAGTTTAAAGGATGATTAAGAATCATCGAAAATCTGAAGTAGAGGAAAAAGTCGTTGAACCCCTTCAAACGACTTACATACCGCACATGCGCTTGTGGCAATCGACTATTCTGGACTTATTCCAATATCAAATTGATGTTATATATTTTTCTTACAGTTGTCTCCCTTTAATCATGGTGCAAAATCAGCACAGGTCATAAAATGTCGCGTAAAATAAATATTGTAAAAAACAAAGAATCCGATAGAAGTAAAATCCAAAACTGTGATCATAAACAGAAATATTTTAGAAAATCTAATCTTTAGACCTCAATAATTACCATTCGAGAAGTATACAAATATATAACACTGAAACATGATTATAAATTATTTGGCTGAATTAACATAAATATCGGTTTATTGAACCTTTTGTAAAATACTTCGGTTTTTAAACAAGTACAAGGCATAAAGCTAAAACTATTGAATGTCCAACAACCTAATTCCAATGAATGCGTTGATGTTTCAGTTACTTTTTGTAAACGTGGATTTTTTTGCGGGGTTCATTTCGCGATTTCTATTGGTATACTATATGCGTGGAGGTTATTTTCACGATCAATTTTCATTCTATTTCATGTATGAAATCGAAGCATATAACAAAACATTACGCGCGGGAGAAATTTTCACGATCTAACGACCTTCGCGTAATTAGCGCAAATCTCCCTCCCCTGTAAATTTCTACGTTTAAAGTATTATGTACGGTATTGTATGACATTAATACATGAACTACTAACTGTGTAGAAAATATTGTAATATAGTAACGTTTATACATACACAAAATATACATGTTACTAACATAAAAAACTAAAACAATCCCCTAAAAAGTGGGCTTTTATTTAAGGACGCAATCTCGACAACAAAGACTGGTTCGTGACTACAGCTTCCTGAGATAGGAACGAGGCTGTCTGGGGTGAAAGACGATGCAAAAAATATGACAGACGTAGCAAATGAATAAAATAACTAAATAGCTAAATAAATGAATGGATAAAAATAGTTAATGTAATTAGCTGTTTTGGGACATTTTGATCACAACATCGCAACAGATAGCGGAACAAAACAGACCGACTCATTACTCGTTATGACCAGACCATTCACTCCCAATTTTATTTGCTGACAAAACGTATCTTTTTGTTAACGGAAAATAAAACAACAATTCGCTGATCAGTAATCGAGGGTATCACGGGGTCGATTTCAGCCACAGAAGCACGATCTGCCATGGCGCCAATCCAATCGATTTTCTTATTCAGAACTAACAGACATTGCTGTGTGCTATACCGTTCCTCGGGGGTATCAAATATGTACTTAACGTTTAAAATGGAGTTTTGGAATCTTATTAGATCCAGACTGTTCGTCGTGATTGTAATATATTAAACTTTGTGTATCTGAGAAATATATCAAAGTGAAATAGAAAATTACACTATCCTCTCAGAAACACAATGATATATAACAGTATTATTGGTCGATATGTGTCCAGCTCAATATGCTGGAAAATACCAACGTAAGAACACAAATTCAATAAAGCTAGGGCAAAAAATTAACGATTCATACGGATACCCCTGAAAAAAGTACAAGAATAACACCAGATATTCCAGAAGAGTAAGCATAAAAAAACCTTAATACGGACAAGGTTTGGGTGTCTGTATAACCTCTAATGATGCGCTCGGACAAAAAATGACGGTTGGGTTATTTTGTAAATAAAGAGACAATTGAGGAGTCACCCACTTAATTTGAATTTTAATCCTGTGATATGTAATTCCTAAAGATAGTTAAAAGTGTCTGTAATAGAATACATTTCTACCTATATGTATGTAATCACATCAGTAACTGCAGATCCAAGGTGCGTGGTACGACGCTCACCACCGTTGGCTTTTTTTGTTTCTCGGGAAGCTGTGAAAGCTATGATCTTTGCGGGCGTGGTAGTCTTTTGGCAACGCACTTTATCCTGATTTTTCTGAATGACACGCGACTGCTCTCCCGTATCTTGTTCAGTGAGGTAGCCACAGCTACTAAAATGATACTTCGCCCCAAAATGACTCTGGATGTTTACGAGGTCGGATGAATTTAAAAAATAAACAATTAAATTTGTATGCAGTCAACCCATTACAAGAGTACTAGACGGCCAATGCAACAACGAAACATTCTCGCTTTATTATGAAGACACAATGTTCCTTGCTTCAGTCGTTCCGATTACTTTCTTGTTTGTTTATTATTTTACGTCCTATGAACAGTTAGGGTCATTTATGGACGTGCCAGAATCAGGTGGCGGAGAAAAGTTCGTCGTTGGCCTCGACCCACAGGACTAGAGGTCAAAAAGGTCAGACGCCTTCAACACTCGGCTACCGTGGCCCCGTGATTCGTGAAGTACAAGCCAATTCATAATTTGTTTTGCAAGCCTTTTCTAGATCGGTAAAATGACCATCTTTATTCCTTTCTTTGACTTTAGTAGTCATTTCACCTTAATCCCATACGTTGTAAGACGTATACATTGTATCTTTACAATATATATAAATATATATTTGAAGTTACAAAGTTTTATCATTATACAACATTACCAGATTAAAATGTTAACCAAACTAGCATGGAAACATTGACTTTTGAACTTACGCATAAACATGTTACAGGAACTACTTTTGCTAAACGAATAGATTTGTTTAAATTTTAACGCACGCGGACGATGCTTTTTTCTATTGAATAAAAATGTAAATATTTATGTCACGTACTAACAAGAATTGCTCTACAATAAAATTTGATGAAAAAACACTGATGTATAGATATAGTGATTGGAAATTTAATTTTATGTTAATCATGTATTTTATGAAGCATCTCTTCCAAGAACATAATCTAAAACATAATTATACTGATAAAATATTACTTAGAATGATTTAATTTAAATATTCTTTAGGACAATAAGTTTTACATCTAAGAAACTTATAGTTAACACAACACAACAAACTATATTTAGATTGACCACGACCTATATATTATTGTCGAGGGAGTTTTCTACCACTATATCTTCCAGAGTTGTCGTTCCTGAAGCCCGCAATGCACAGTAAGAAATTGAGATGAAAGGAGTGAAAAAAGTAAAGCATTATATTTCACTGCAAAATATGAAAGTAAAAGTTACTTAGATTGGGATTAATCGTTCATACGATGGAAACGGTGTCTTTTGTTGTTGACGTAGCGTCTGCTGTGGTTTGTGTGATGGGGGAATCGGCTACAACAACAGGGTTGTCCTTCATTGTGACTGAAAATGAGAGTGACGTTTTAAAGATTCAGCTTATTAATCTTTAACTATATTCAGTTAAGTTGGCTATGATCTGAAAGTTCACAATTTATAAAATTTGATGTATAACTCAAATTACATGTATAGCCAACTACGAGAGCCATGGAGATCATGCATTCACAGAGATTCCGATTTGCGCTTTTTAACTACATTGCTTTGGATTGATGTAATCAAATTTGAGTATCAAAAGTACCAATGCTACTCCACGAATTTATATTAATACATTAATAAGTAAATTGTTGAAAATATGACATAATATTTTCTGTATTCGGTAAATTTGTGGACCTACTGTTAATCCGCGAAATCTAGTAACCGCAACCATAAAACAATGTTTTTAAAACTACGAAATCTGAGCTCCACAAAAATATAGGACTTTAAAGTATTTTTCTAATGTTAAAAGAAGGAAGACAACCTTCAAAAATATTAATACTTTCAACGCTGAAAATAAGATAAATAATATCAAATTCGTACTTATTTCTTCATCGGTTTTACCCGATCCGCATTCGATCGCTGCCGGGTCAATTCTTTTTTTCTCTTTCGACACGCAATGGGCAACGCACAATAGAAATACAACTATGAATGTAAACAGGCTCCCTCCAATAGTACACCCGACAATGATTCCAATTCTGTTTAATGAAAAAACCAAAAAAATATCGGAAATTATATCGCCAGAGTAAAATGTTCTGTACTTCTGGCTTGAGTTGAAGCCAGGACATAACAATATGGCGGTTACATTTAGCTGCCATTTAGCTTAAAACTTCCGGCCTGAAAACAGTATCACACACACACACACAGGTACACTTACACTATAAAAATGTTTGGTCTCTCTTTGCTCTGACGCACTAGTGTTGATGTTTACTTGAAGGTCCCGTATGAAAGTGAACTAAGCACGTGATATGACGAATTCTAGAAAAGTTTTGAAAAGTGTTTTGTATTTTTACTAGTGTTGTTTATTGTAGGAGAGACCGATTTACAAGAAATTAATTAAATTATCTCTCTCTCGCTGTCTCTCTCTCTCTCTCTCTCTCTCTCTCTCTCTCTCTCTCTCTGTCTCTCTCTCTCTGTCTCTCTCTGTCTCTCTCTCTTTCTTTCTTTCTTGCTTTCTCAGTCTCTTCTCTGTCTAAACATGTCGTCTTGTCTTGTTAATATGTATTTTATTAAACTTTATAGGAAAGGGCTTAATATAAGTTAGAAAACTTGTGCCTAATCCTGCTTGTATATTTGATACCAATAAAGTATGTTTAAATCAAATGTGTAGCACATATGTCTGGGAATAGCTATTTCTATACTTACGTGCTTGATTTCTTATCAGATGATTTGTAGGAAGGTATATCACCGAAGTCCGCACAACAAGTTTTGTACGAGTTCGAGTAATAGGTGGTTGTATATCCGACAGATAATGTACAACAGCGGTTCGCGCAGTATTTGGGTCCATGCTGATAACTATAATAATAATAATACCGGTGGCTGTAGTCAGTTGTTACTTGATAGCGGCCATAATACCAGTCCATATAAGTTTGATAGAAAATTCCGACACAATACTCACCTCCCAAACACTGACCTAGATAATCAAAAACAACAATATAATTAGTAACCAGGATACGTACTTTCAAATATACACAGAAGTTTTATTTGAATAATGGATCATTCGAAAAAAAAATTGAATTAAGATTTAATAGCCTTGAGTTTCTCAATTCGCTGTTGCAGGAATTAACACAGAACGTTCTAAGTACACATGTACCTGGTATATGTTTCTACAGGAATGTGTAAAACAAAGGCCTTAAATATAAATCTCAATTTTAAAGATCAATCAAAATTATATCATTTAGGTAAAAAAAATTTCATTCGATGCCAAAAAATCCCGCCGTGTAGTTGGTTAGACAGTGTTCAAATTTCTTGGCTGGGCGATTTGGTACCCGGATAGACCACGAGTCAAAATTATCTTCCTTCCTCAGTAGTGTTCACCATACATTAACACAATACATCATGTACAGTAAAGTGTGTTGTTTCAAAGGTTTCAGATTTGATTTTCCTGTCAGAATTGTACCCGTGTTTAATAGATGATAATTTTACGATGTTAGTAACGGTATATACTTACCTATCAAAGCTATTAATATCGTAAATAGCAGGGACGGAGTTGTAGTATTGGTCATGATGGCGTCGACCAGGAAGTGGCGCAATGTTTCGGTTTATACGCGTTTGCTATGAAGTGTATACGTAATTAGGGGAACTGCTCAGATCATACAAATCCAGACAAGCTAAAAACCAGAAATATGAAATCTCATGTAGAAAGTAAAATGTAAGGAATGAAATATAAAAAGAAAGGGGAAAAAATTGACAAATTCATCAAAGTATTCTGGACAATAAAACACGGATTTTTCTTCACCTAATTGGGTAGACGTTTTGAAAATTTGAATAGATGAAGTTAACAAAGCTGTTAAGGATATTGACAGCACGGTCATTATTCAGAGTTACCCGACCATGAAATGCTGATCGACTCAAAAGACAGACACTTGAACAAAACCTTTAAATAGCATATTTTGAATAGCGACACACGGGACTGTCTGTTGACTGCACATAAGTGGCATATTATATATACGTTATGTGTGCACCTGTTCGCACAAAACAACAAAGTACTACCAAAGTATGATACATGTATATCGACGCCTGCTGGTTAATATGTTAGCTAATAAAAACATTTGAGTGATCGTATTTTTTCTAAACTTATTTTGTTTAAATTCTGGCATTTCGTCCAATGTAAATAAATAGTAATGACGGGGGAAAAGTCTGAAAATTTGGCTTGTATGGAATCCCCCACCCCCCATTTTTTTTTTTTTTTTTCGATCTTGGGTATAGGAAATAAAAGTTATTCTGAACTGTCCATTTCTGGATAGTGACACTCCTGTTTCCAAAGTACCTGCTGCTTATATGTTGCAGTTGATTCAATATTAGAGGACTTACTTTTCACGACTTTCCGTGACAGGTTCCGACAATGGACGGAAAACATAACTATATAATTTCCAGATATGGACGATGATAGGGACGAAGGGGTAATTAAATGGTCATTGTCTTGACCTCGTTTGAAAAAAAATACCTCTGTCTGTTGTTACGATCAGATCCATGGTCGTTAGTATGAGAATGATTTCGTGCCGTTTTTTAAATTCGATTTCCGTTTCTGAGAATACCGTACTTTACCTTTTTGCTCCTATAACAGAACTCACATGAAGAGGAAACAGATGTATGACTTCATTAAATGTCTATCAATGAATTTGATTCGAAAGAGGCTATTCACTTGTATCTTTTCTCGAGCGTTTTCTTCGATTTACCCATAGCAATGACCTTGACGTAATTTCAATGTTATAACGTTCAAATACGTCATAAACTTTTAAACATTTCATAAGCAGGATTCTGAGGCGAGGTGCTATCTACATATGTACAGTGTAATGTCCTTGAATAAATTATCTTGACTGATTCCCTTTGTCGCAGAGGTCAAGTGTTTCTTTAAAATTCCGCGTGATCTAGAGAACTGATAGCCCAACTTGAAAGTTCAAAAGACTTGTAATCCTTATATTTGGTCAGTAGATCCCTCATATGAATGACCTTGAGCTTTTCCAACGTCAAAATGGCCAGATATATTGAAAATTGAAAAAAAAAACTCTGGATCCTAATATTGAGACAAAAAGTTTCATTAGATAAATGCCCTTGACCTATTTTCTTGGTCTCATTGTTTAAATGAGAACAACTTTAACTGACAACACCAAAATATCGAGAACATCATTTTTGGATTCATTACATTGTGAATTGGTACCGAAGTAAACTAAAACAATTTTCCTATACTGTTCTTACTGTTCTTGTAAGCGATACAAGGCAACCCTGTGCCCCTCTTTAAAAATAATTCACAAACATATTCCGAATGTCAATACATATGCATGGACGTCATCTAAGGACGTGGTGAAGTATTTGTTTCACATAATTTATTGGGGTGTCTCACCACTACCGTTTCAATCGTATGACGACATCGTGTGACGTATTTACGACATTTTTTTGTTAGATCAACATTTTCCCTAGATCCTAGATTTGTTAACAATGTTTTTATCGTGTTTATCATTTATCATTATCGTACAGGCCGCATTTTTTTGCTATCCTCCAGAAAATCGAAAAGTGTCCCTAATATGAAGGTAATTCGTTTTTTTATGTATGAAATCTGATAACACGTACAGGATTATCACCAGCAGAATGAAATGCAAAAATACGTACACAATTATCGCTTTGAATGAAATGACTGCGAAAACAGTTGCTATGGGCTTTGGAGGCTTATGACTTATGTTCGCCGTATATTGTGCTGAAATCCGATTATCAGTAAAACTATTACTACTTATTGTGTTACTAACTGTCTACTACTCGAGTCTGTACACAAGTTTACATGAACATGTATCACCTCCATGTAATGATTGTTTAATTCTCATTTCAGATTCAGCAAAACATATTGATGGATTTTCATCAGCGATTCTTTACCAGCCTTAGGATGCGCATGACTACGGACGGCAACGTCCGGTTGGCGTAAAGGTTAACAATAAAAGAGAGTTTCGAGAGTAAATAAAAAACTGGATGGAAAAATAAAGTACTCAGGAATTGATTAAGACATTGTCTAACAAAATAAACACCACGATGTCCCGTGTAAATCAAACTTGTTCTGTGTACCAGTGAAGGATATTGGTACGTTTTATGTATTAGCCACGGACGAATATAGTGTGACATATTTAAAGGATACCGATTAAAACTGTGGTTAGCTCAATTGTTGACAGTTTTGTGAATATAAACGTAGAGACAGCATGTACCTTAATTGTTCTGGTTTTGAATGTGTAAAGACGGCTACGGTACAACACTCGTATGGTAAATACCGACTACTGCATAGTCCCGCGTGGGAAAGAAAATCTGTCTGTTTGGCCAGTTTCTCGGCGGTGACAAATGTCATTTGATCCATACGTTGTACTGGAGATAATGCACTATTTTTGGACGTAATCGTTTATGTCATAAGATCCGAATGCGCATTACTTGTTTTTTAGAAAGTCGTCTATTTGACCAATCTGTTGGAGTTTAATTCAGGAAGTGTTTGTATTTGGCTGGAGAATATGCGTTTATTTGAACAGGCCAGGCGACAAACGCAACAAAAGTGAATTGGCAAGGCTACAAACTTGTGTATAAGTATTATGCTCTGTTATTGCAATGGGAGAAATTTGAATGCCTTATCAACAACGATCAGTCTGTGTTTATGTTTTTTTTTATTTATCTATTTTTTTCTTGAATTTCCGGAGTTGACCAGTTGCAGTTATTAGCCTTTGGATTAAGGAATTGATATATATATCTGGAAACTACACTTGTTAGTGTATTAAGATAAAAAAACTCATTTAAGCGTATCTCTACCTGTTCCGTGAATTATAAATTTTTGTTTTAGAAACATTTTGTGAAATACAATAATTCTTAAAGATGGACACTTTAAACATAGGTGCAGCAGAGCAAAATAAAAAGTATATTGAACTCTTGCACGATGAGGAAGACGAAGAAGCCATTCATGATATTCGGAGGCGAGGGTCAAATGTGTCGTTGTCAAGATATCGGTCATGTCCTCAACTTCTCGATGAACTGAACGTAAGCAAGGGTCAGATTCAGTCATTTGAGACGACAGTGGATGACTCGGCACGTCTTGGGAATAAACTTAGTCCTCAAAGTCCCGTTCCACTGATGCGTAAACATTTTCAGTTTGACCAAAATGGCATGCCAGGATCAGCAACTCCAACACCTCCATCCACGCCTCGAAGTCGGCGTAGTGTTCATTCACAGAGAGATTCACCATCGACGCCTGTCCAGGGCTCCTCGCCCATGTCCACGCCTCGTTTACTACACAGACCACACCTCTCACGCCCTTCTCTCAGTCGCGACTCCTCCGCTGATAGCCAGAACGACAGCCGAAACGGGTTTATCAGTGATTCTAAAAATAATTTCACGCACGTGCCTTTCACTGATGACGTAACACGAAGACAAGAACACGCGTCATCCACGACGGTCACGGCCAGTCCACAAAGACCTGGGATGGCCCGCGGGGACGGGACTGGAACGACCGAGGGAACAGGTCTAGGAGGACATAGAAAACTCTCTGCACAGCTCAATTACCTTGGTCCTAGCATTATCAGTGGGGATCCTTCGACTGAGTGCAACCAAGACAAGTGTGAGAAATGGCTTCAATCCCTCCATCTATCAAAACCGGATAAAATCAAGTCACGAAGTCATATACAGTTACCGCCTATATGACGTCACAAGGTGTGTTTTAATTGGTTAGACGACACAACTTCTGCCTGTGACCATTCAATATTAAGCAGAGTTGTCGTTCTCTAAAGTAACGATATATGTAGGATACCGCAATGCACTCTGGGAGAGATTGGCGACCATTGTGTTATATGCATTGAAAAACACGTGATCATTCGATCAGTTTTAAGTGCAAGGGTTCAATTACCCTTTATTTTTTGTGAATATCTTAGATAGTGATAATTGTCTTTAAGTGTGGTTTCCATATTGTTTTCCCCAGGATGCATCTCTACATAAATTCAGTAGCTTCCGTATAAGAGGTCAAAGAACAACAACAGCAGCAGCAGCAACAGCAGCAGCAGCAGCAGTAGCAGCAGCAGCAGCAGCAACAACAACAACAACAACAACAACAACAACAACAACAACAACAACAACAGCAGCAGCAACAACAACAACAACAACACATTTACATGGGACTATTAAGCCAGCTCAAAAATAGAAATCGAAATTACATTGTTTTTCAAACTTGAAAATTCTGATGACAAATGCTTTCTATGGGGTAAAGCGCTTACCTCAATTTGTCATTGTTAAAAATAAACGTATTCACAGTAAAACAATAAGCTGTTACAGGGCGCCATTCTACTTATTATCCACCAGGATGGGATTCATATCAACTGTATGTCCAATCTGGTAAAAGTCTATTGTTTGTATTTCAATTCCGTTGTGTAAGCAAAAATACCCTACACGAAAACATCGTTTAACTCTGCCACTTATCGGAGGGGTGACGTCATCTGACTAGGTGAACGAAAAATGCCAACGAAATATAGTTTCCCTAAAACAGGCACTAGAAATACGTTGGTGATACTTTGTTTAGTTTGAAATCTAAATATTAATGTTAAAAAGATGTTTGAATGGTATTTCACCAATATAAAACAATTCTATTGCTGATAATATCATTGCGCCTTGATGTAAATGTAAGTAGTGATGTCGATGGAACACGACGCTGTGCCGCCATGTGGAATCAGTCTCGCTAAGTCATAGAACAACAGTGAGCTATTTTTTGAAATTGGTGGTGCATTCATGAAATGTGGCATTAGCGACAAACGCCAGGAGTAGAGATCATGGATATATTTGACAGAATATTTATTTGAGAAAGATTGGAAAGGACAGTTACACGAGGTGGCAAATCGGCCACGAGTTCACCAGGTCCACTAGTACTTGACCTACAATCACGTGCGTTGTGAGAGACATTTCACTTCTCACTTTTTCCTGCTTTTTCGTCGGAAGTATAATGTGGACACGTTTCTGGTGTAGAATATCGATGAAGATTCGCATTTATGAGAGGATAAAAACATGATGTGCCTCGCCTAAAAACTTGATACTTCCAGTGACGTCATACATAGACCATAGAAAGTGTATTGCTTTACGCTTGACCAGATGGAAGAACTCGGTATCCGAAAGAGATTTCCTCCGACGAACATTTCCCTAACTATGCGCTGAGGTATTATGGAAAATTTGCCAAAACAAAGATGCATCGGTCATTTGACGATCTAGTTTCCTGACAATATTGAAAATAAATTGGAAACAACAAGGTTGAACTGATATTTGAATTTGTGAAAAACCGTGATATTCCTTAAGTACATTTATATTGCATTTTTGCTCAAATTTACGTATTGGCAGATGTTTTAACGCGGGCATGCTTAACAGGCTTATTTGTTGTGTTCCGCTTCCCAATGAAAATGCGTTCCTCTGCGGAATCGACTCTTCCGGTGTATGCCCTGTGAACATAGTTTGTGGGACGCCATTATGACGTCAGGGTCCAAAAAAGAATCGGTTGTCTGAATCACTGCGTGTCCGGGACCAAAGTCAGCTACCTCGCTACACACATTAATACTAGTTTTGGAAAAAAAATTACATAAAAGCTATGCTAAAGCTATATGTGGATATAAGCTCAGATATTGTCAAATATTTGATAAATTATTTTTATAAAAGAGTTGAAAAATAAGAAAATTTACTCAAATTCTAATGGATCCCCATGGATGTGTAAATGAGAGATAACTTTATGAAATACAGCGGGGTTGACAAATTACATTTAGGTTGTTATTAAATGGGACAGTCTGTAGCCTTACATGTATATAATTATGATAATATCTATGTATTATGTTTGTACAAAGTGTATATAAATAATTAGTTAGTTAGTTAGTTAGAAATTTTTCGTCTCCGTGTATCTTTCTATTCCTAGGCGTTGTCTCGCCAACGAACATCATGATTCTGGCGATGTGCACGCAAACAGACATTAATGAAAGTGACGAGCTTGTAATCTCATTTTAGGGCTTAAATTTGGATTTTTGGAGTCGCAAGGATATAAATTAGTTGATTTTAGTTACAATGACGTCTGTTAATGGAAGGGAGGTAATTCACTCATATTTCACTGGAAAGAAAAAGATTTAATTTACAATAGCTAACATTTAATGAGGTACATTCATAGTTGAACAACCATTAAACTTCTGGTCACCGATGTAGAGGTCTACCAATTATATCGGTATGTCTCGAATGCTTATAAAAAACTGACAATGATATGCTTTTGTAAAGGAAAGTACACATATTCAAACACTAGCGTTTTCTTTTAACTTTTTATCGGTAACTGATCTATAATGCAATATACCAATCGAAGAGTTTTTACATATAAGTATTTACATTGTAAATACCGCAGAAACATTAAGGTTTGCCGATTTCGAGAGAAAACGACCTGTGTCATTTTCACGGACATGGAGGCGATAACACTAAGTTTAACACTAATTTTTCAAAAGGTTGCAGTATTGTGTGAAATGAAACATTATGATTATGTCGCATTGTTTTTTGGTGCTCAAGAAAACAGGGCGTTGTATGTCTGAATCTGTGATGTTTGTCGTTTCAATCAAATGTTTTTTGTCAAAGTTTTCGATTCTATGACATTGGTTATAACTGTTATTGTATTTAAATCAAATAAAAGATAAACATTCCTGTCCTGGTGTTTCTCTATTTTTGTTGTTTGTGATAATTAACTTATGATTTTCTTTTCAAATGTTATCATTGGTTCTTCGTCATCTATTTATTTATCAATCTATTTATTTATTTATTCATTCATTGCAATTACCTGTAAATGAGTGAAAAGGAGCAATTACCTGTAAATGAGTGAAAAGGAGACGATCCTTTTACGATTTGAGAAGAAAGTTTACATTTAATTTACATCATCAAAAAGGATTAGTCTATTAACGGAAGAACTATAGGGGATATCTTCACTTAAATTTCATAGCATTTTGATTGCAGTGTTGTGTATACTTTTTGATCTCCAAGAGTTACTGCCCTGGAATGGATGGCATTGAGGGTTCTACATTTTTTCCAATGACATCCGAATACTCATCACTGTCATTTGGTGAATGGCTAATCAGCGATTGGCTCTAGAATGGCTCATGCACGCCTATGGCTCATAGATATCCCTTCCCAAGGTATTGGGCATGGATTGGCCACTCTAGTCGTATTTCTAATCGGCAAAGTTCCAACAATTAGGAAGTGATGCGTCGTCCTAATTACGTTCTCGCCTTGGTTCTTCCATACATGATGCCAAATTTTCCGGGTTATCAGGAGTACACCTCGGACTCCCATCAATTAGACAGTCTGTGCCTTCCCAGGTATGACAAGATCTTATCAGAAAAACCTATCTTCAGACCTCTAAAAAGACAAGTCGAATCTTAAGGTCGCAAGGTGACTTCTGCCTTTTTTGGGCATTCATTGTCTTCGCATCTATTTCGCTAGATATTTGGAGTACTCGTGTGTCTAGGGTGCCGTGTTATATTCATCCAATCCAAAAATCATCTCAGCGGGTGACCCTGGCTGTCTTCAAACCATCAGCTGCAAGCGCAAGTAACCTGTTGTCATGTCGGATGGAATTGTTGGCAAACGTTAAAGGGCTGTCTAGATAGTGGCGATAGGGATTACTACCATAACCTTGGAGACCAAGAGTATGGACGGCTGTCTAGATAGTGGCGATAGGGATTACTACCAGATAGTGGCGTTAGGGATTACTACCATAACCTTGGAAACCAAGAGTAAAGACAGCTGTCTAGATAGTGGCGTTAATGGTTACTACCATAACCTTGGAGTCAAAGAGTATGGACAACTGTCTAAATAGTGGCATTAATGGTTACTACCAGACCCTTGGAGCCCAGAAGTATGGACAGCTGTCTAAATAATGGCGATAGGGGTTCCTACCAGAACCTTGGAGCCCGAGAGTATGGACAACTGTCTAGATAGTGGCGTTAGGTTTTACTGTCAGACCCTTGGGACTCAAGAGTATGGACAGCTGTCTAGATAGTGGCGTTAATGGTTACTACCAGAACCTTGGAACCCAAGAGTATGGACTGCTGTCTAGATAGTGACGTTAATGGTTACTACGAGAACCTTGGAGCTCAAGAGTGTGGACAGCTGTCTAGCTAGTTGCGTTAATGGTTACTACCATAACCTTGGAACCTAGGAGTATGGACAGCTGTCTAGATAGTGGCATTAATGGTTACTACCAGAACCTTTAAGTCCAAGATTATGGACAGCTGTCTAGATCGTGGCGTTAGGAGTTACTACCAGAACCTTGGAGACCAAGCGACAGACAGCTGTCTAAATAGTGGCGATAGGGATTACTACCATAACCTTGGAGCCCAAGAGTATGGCCAGCTGCCTAGATAGTGGCGTTAGGGTTTACTGTCAGAACCTTGGGACCCAAGAGTATGGACAGCTGTCTAGATCGTGGCGTTAGGGTTAACTGTCAGAACCTTGGGACCCAAGAGTATGGACAGCTGTCCAGCTCGTGGCGTTAGGTTTTACTGTTAGAACCTTTGGACCCAAGAGTATGGCCAGCTGTCTAGATAGTGGCGTTAGGTTTTACTGTCAGACCCTTGGGACCCAAGAGTATGGACAGCTGTCTAGATCATGGCGTTAGGGTTTACTGTCAGAACCTTGGGACCCAAGAGTATGGACAGCTGTCTAGATCGTGGCGTTAGGGTTTACTGTCAGAACCTTGGGACCCAAGAGTATGTACAGCTGTCTAGATAGTGGCGTTAGGTTTTACTACCAGAACATAGGAGACCAAGAGTATGGACAGCTGTCTAGATAGTGGCGTGAGGGGTTACTGCCAGAATCATGGAGCCCAAGAGTATCGACTTGTATAGTTCTATAAGGATAAAGCGGTTCAGAAATATATAGAATGCTCAAGATAATACGTCGAACTCCTGGGATAGCAAATATGGAAATAATGGTGTTCATGTCTTAAATGTTAAAAAATGGGAGAAAACGAGGGGGAAAATGTTAATCTAAAATGTCCAAAGTCAACTGAAATGTATTGTTTACATCCAACAGCCTTTTGTAAACAAGAAAATAGTAAATGTTTATTTAACAATGAAATGTACAATGGTGGCTCTTAATTGTTACATGTATACGGAGACGATACACTATAAATTAGTGTATATAGGTAAGATATTTTCAAAGAGAACCTTGGTAAATTGTTTACTGTCCCGGAAATCCATTAGATATGGGCAATTCTGATACTGCGGCAAACTTTTTTATCACTTGACGTTTCGAACGATTTCCAATAGAAGGGAGGTAACTCCATGTCAGTATTTCTACAAGGCACGCCTGTTCGATTTGATGAAAATTTTACACACGTAATACTCAACGCTATCACGGATTTTCAATATTCTATAAGGACGTCATTCATTCTTGAAAATTAACCTTTCCCTGCCATATATGGAATCGTTTACAAATTGGGAGAGTTCCAAACCACTAATATGTTTATTAAGTCAAACAATTCAGTTTGTACAACAAATGTTGATGGACATCCTCTTATCAATCAGTCATTATTTATGTATATTTGTTCGGTTTTTTTTTTCTTTGTTTTTTTCTTTTTTTTTTTTATGTTCGGTGTCCATCCGATATTCCAATATTGACGCTGACAAAATATTTAAAATCAAAGGAATTCGAATTCGTTACATCTTTTCTCAATCTTCACAAATATCCTGAAATTCTCTTGTTTCAACGCGGAATTTAGTTTTACATACCTAGCAAGGAGACTTGTTACCGTGAAAATATGAATGTTTGATACAAGTAATATCAATTTTAGAGATTAAGATACAGCACGTGAAACAAAACCTTGAAAATCGAATTTATTTTGTTAATCGAGACTTAGGGAAAAATATAAGACACACAATGCAGATAAGAAAACGCAGAAAAAAATAGATGATTTTAATCATGCAGCTGTTTCGTCTTTCTAGGATTCGTCAGTGATGCTACATCATACAGCTGTTTCGTTCTTCCAGTACTCGTCAGTGATGCTACATCATACAGCTGTGTCGTCCTTCTAGGACTCGTCAGTGATGCTACATCATACAGCTGTTTCGTTCTTCTAGTACTCGTCAGTGATGCTACATCATACAGCTGTTTCGTCCTTCTATGGCTCGTCATTGATGCTGCATCATGTTTCGTGATTTACCTATTACATTAATTTCATTACCAGAGCTCAATTTGCTATTTTGAATCAATGCTGACATGCTTATGATATTTCAATAAATATTACACCTGTGCTACAGGTTTACAAGAGAAATTACATTTTCTTTCTCTTTTGGGATGTTGACTTTGTATCCTGTGTGTTTTGCTTTGTTGATTTTTTTAAATTAGGGATGATAGTTACTTGGTGCCTTTGGTATGACCTATATAGCAGGGCGGTCTGAATAGCGAGTATGACCAAGTAGACAGGCTTCTAAAAATTACCACTTTTGTCCTCATTTTACAATAATTAAATTAATATGTAAGTTTTAAGATATTAAACAAAAAGTAACAGCATCTATGATTTAACCGTTGTACACGGTGGATTTATATACACCAGATAACTTTGTGATGGGATGGTGATTTGATTAGCAAGATGAAAGTCAATGCAAAATTGGTCTTTGGGACTTTTAAAAAAAATGGACTTAATTGTGAACTGCTTTTAATAATGCAGTACAAAGGCACAAAGAAAATATATTTATGACTGAAAGAAAGTGGTTTTAAAAATTGATGGTCTTAATTTTGAAGTGGATTTCAAGAAAGGTTTCGCTATATTCCTGGTTTGGAATTTGGCAATTTGGAAATAAAATTGTGCTTTCACATTTAGAATTGATTGTTTATTACAAGAAAAAAATGTATCTTAATCTGATCAATAAGACTGAGCCTGTGAACAAACAAATGACTAGTCTTTGTTGAGTGGAAGACTAACATTTAAATGTCTGGTACCAACTTTTTGACAAAGCTATACTCAAATCACTGCACAACTGCTTCATCATCCACATGTTAATGGAGGAATAATTTGATCATACAAACTATATGATGGTGAAATTGGTAACTTGTGGACTGGGGTGCTCTATTTGCGGTAAAATTAATTAGAATTTAAAACATTTACTCATATTCAGTCATATTACCATCAAAACTAACATTTAGGACATCAACCTGTAGTGAAGATGAACATGGTGTATATCATATATTCAAATTCAAAGTTTGTGGGAACTTAATATGAGGAAATATCAAATCTTTCATTTCATGAATTAATACATGTATTTTACAATTTTTTGTAGTTTTTTTTCTGTATCTTTGCTGTCATTGTATCATAACAGCTTGATATTATTGACTATTGAATATATTAGTCATTTCACATGCCCAAACTGTACAGTAATATTTGCCATGATCCATCAAGGGTAAACTCATGTACATTTCCTGTTGAAATATTTATAGCATGCTGATGCACAAAATAAACAGAATGAAGTTGATGAATTTAACTTCCACAACTTATGTCTATTCTGCCTACAAAAGGTGTTAATATGAAAAAGACAATTCCAACACAAAAATGGTAATTTCAAGTTTCTTAACGCAAGGATCTGCGAATAGTTTCTTGGAATGTTTTATCAAGTTTTTACTGTATATACCTTCATGAATCTGTCGGTAAGGAACTTAATTAGGACCCGATTATTGAGCAATGCACTTGCTTTATGTGTTTAAATAAATAACATAATTTACCAAGTCAACTGTTTATTACATCAGTTTGTATACAAAAATCCATGATGATGTGAAATACATTATATCTATATAAGTCTATGATATACACAAATTGCCTACCCGTGGTTCCTCAATTTAATTTTGCGCTACCTTAGATGTCGTCAGTACCAACACGGGTGATTTCCCCTTTCCAATGACGTAACATTCTAGAACTGATTACTCCGTACCTAGGTCTACCAAGCCAGGAAGCCGTAGATATCTATTAAGGGAGCCTCACCCCGGGAGAAGTCACATCACCTCAAGCTCTATCTGGAACCAAACCTATTTATACTCGTGGAATTTGGTGTGATTTCCAGATATAAGACTTTGTCAGTACACATAAATTAAAGAGTTTCATACGTGTACATCTACTTTCGGTTTGGTAGAAATCAATTGTAACTAGCTAGATTTTTCGTATCAGAGCTAGATCATCTGTATCAAACACCATGAGCAGGGTCATCCCACTGCCTTCAGGAAAAAAGTACCATTTCTATGTTATTTACAATCGGGCTGGGTCAAAGGTTTCGGCCACAGCTGATACTGTCCTAGCTACCGAAGTTGTGGGACACTTCAAAAAGCTAGCCGAAGAGAAGGGATATACAAAATGTTTTGACGCACATGTCGATGTAGACACCGGATCCGCGGATGTTTATGGTGCACACTTTAATGTCATGGAGAAATCTATGTTGGCGTTAGTTTTCGTCACTAAGGGTTTCAAAGAGAATGGCTTCGAGATGTTTCTCCAGCAGACTACCCACTTCAACTCAGTAACACGCACTGAACGCAACACCTGTCAGGTGATGGCTGTATTGATTGGTGTATCGGAAACAGTCTTACCTAAAAATCTAATTATTAGTAGCTATGTGTCGTTCACCGAAACAGACTGGAGGGATGATATGGAAGAATGGAACAGAGTGTGGCAAATGATGAACATTCATTTGGGCCCGCCAAGTAAGTATATAGTATATGTTAGTAAGCCGTATTCATCAGTCATAATATTAAAAATGAGTCTTTGTAGAGTGAAAAGTAAATAGAGTTTGTTTCATTTAAGGTACACAAAAATATTCATGTCCATAGGCTGTAATGAAAAACTGGTCCAGAACTGTTATTTCACAATTTTGATGAGATGTAGTTGATTCTCTATATTCTCACACAGAAAAAACACAAGTCCAGGGCTTGAATATCCCAGTTCCGTAAGTCACTGGACATGGTGAACAGAGACAAAGGGTTGCATATTTGGACCCAACTAGAGTGCAAAAGATGGGGGGTAAAGGGGGCAAGTTGTTTCGGTTCTTCCAACATAAGTTGTTTTGGTACTCTTAAAAATGTTTTGATTTATGTGTTTAATTTGGTTTTTTAAAGAGTTTTGTCATAAATAAATGTTGCTCATTTCATTACTGAAAAAACTATTGACTCAAAATAACACTCTAGCTGTGTTTATAATTTTGCAAGTACCAAAACAACTTTTGTAAGTACAGAAACAACTGGGTGCTGAAACAACTTGGTACCAAAATGGATCAGCTGAACTGTGGATGTCATGGTGAAACGCAAGTGTGTTACCATTGCACCACCCGACCATCCATTATCATTATCATGATAATAAGTCCAAGTTATTGCTGTATGTATTTCTCGATTACGTCTTATCATAACGTAGTGTATCTATTTCATCCATCTGCAGAAAATGAACACCGCTTCTTATTTTTGAGTATGAATTTGTAAAGTTAGCCCCTTTAAAAAATGAATACACTAATTGTATGTAAAATTGTAATCGTTAGGTCCACCTATGGACTTGTACAGAGAGACTGTTGCAGTCTATCCAGAAGATTCCCAACCTTTGGAAGGGACTAGTGGAGCTTCCAGATCAGGTACATTTTTGATGAGTGGATATCAGATATGGAAATAATTGTAACAAATTTTAAACAGAGATAAAATGTAGAATCCTGGCTATGCATACCCATTTAGCAAAATATCAAATATCACAACTGTCATTCCAGATATCATATCTATAAGTTTATCTTTATACAATAGTATCATAATTATATAATCATATGACCTACTGGCCGAATATTTGAAACAGGTATTTAAATGTTATTGAACAGTATTTGCTTACTAACTTTTATAAAAAAAAAACATCAAAAAAAAAAAGATATCTGAAAAATAATGTATTTGTTTGGAAACAAACAGTATTTCAGAAATTATTTTTGCTTGAAATGCATCAAAGACGTTGGTCTCTTACCTTTCATTAGTGATGCTAGTCATAGATATAAATTACCACAAATAAATTTTATAGGTATAATTTTGAAAGTAAAAGACATATTACCTTGAACTGAATTAAAAATTAATATGTGGACTCATACTGGCAGAAAGCACGGTTTTGATTGGAAAAAGAAAAATATTGAAAATCATATTTTACAACAATTACAAAAACAGCTTATGAGGTCACCTGAGACAGTCTCTTGGTGACCTAATGCAATCGCCTTCATCCATGTCGTGCATCGTTCGTCTTTAAGCAATTTAACATTTTCAGCTTCTCCTCAAATACCCCTGATCCAAAACCATCCTTGGCCTAAGATGAACCAAAATGGTAAATTATACACTCCCCACTTTACAGGGGCCTGAGACACGGAGCCAAAAGCAGTCAAATTGTAAATTTCAAAAATCTACTTCTCAAAACCCAGATATGATAAAATCAAATGCTCTTCATGAACGGAAGCATCTTAAGGTGCTTTACCAAAACTGTGAATTTCATGACCCCAGAGTCTCTATGGTGAGGGGGTAAAATTTACGATAGTTTATATAGGAAAACTATACTTTTGAGTATGAATTGTTTAATTTTCATTGGAAATATTTCAAACTTGGTTAGAATCATGAGTGAAGGATGACGACTTGATGGTATGCCCATATTGATCCTGACTCTCCCTCAGGGGCTGATGAGTGGAGCCATGGATGGAAGCATCTTAATGTGCATTAATTACAAGGTCCAAGTCACATGTCTTCCTAGTGCATTACTATATTCAGTGTCACGATTTTTGTTTTGGCCGCTAGACCTCTTGTTCAAACTCATATTAATTACTTTAATTGGCCTGGAGGAAGTATGCAAGAGGTCTTGTAAAAAGAGGAAACTGAAAAAATGTAAAAATATTGATATAGATTAGTGATGATTTTTCATCACATCGAACATTTTGCTGAAACATGATAGCACTAATTCTAGTTTCTGTATGTTACTTGTATAACAGTTATTGTGGTTACATTTCTGAAAAATCATAGGCAAAATTAAGTGCATTTACAGTGCCAGTGGAAAGCCCAAGTGGTTGGGCAGGTAACCCCATACCTTTCCACGTCCGTTACCAGAATCAAACTTCAGACACCTGTGTGAAAAACGAGTGTGTTACCACTGCACCACCTGACCACCTGACCACCCAGGTTTAAATGAATCTCTATAATTTACTTATCTGGTAATTAGGTCATGCTCGATGGCAAGCCAACTCATAAATATACTATAAATTTCTGTTCAGTAAAAATACAAAAGCAGTTCTATTTCATTGTCTTATAATAAGCACAGTTTCTCTTTCAACTAGGTCATGCCTGGTAATAAGCTCATTCAAATACTGTATATTGCTACTTGTTTAAAAAAATCAAAGAAAGCTGAGAAAGGGATGAGGTAGTTTGTGTCATTGAGTAAGTGAATCTATCCTATCTGTATGGCATGTGATGGGCCTCTCATATGTTTTTCAGTGAGGTGGCCACCTGCCACTACATATGTTGTTTAGTGAGGTGGCCACCTGCCACTACATGGAGACCTTATTTTAAAATGATCCTGACAGTTGATCGCGGTATAAACCAGACACACAAATAAAATAAGATACAATTTTTTTGTCCTAAGCCCATTCTGTAACTTTTAGTAAAAATTATGTTGTTTTCCAGTAAGGCATATAACAGGTTACTGTTATAATGATTTTTAATATTTGTGTATTTACAGCCATAGCTGTGAATAGCAGGAATGTCCAACTGCAGAATGAAGGACAATCCCTAGAAGTTGATGGACCAGGGTCGTTCTCGGGTATATTTACTATATTTATTTTGTTGTTTGTATGTATCCTAGCAGCCAGTGACTTTTAATGTTATGTACAATACCCTTGGGACTATTAATTTTTTCGTTGAGAAAAGAACATTAAACCCAAGAGGCTTAGAGTCAGAAGAATTACATATTCAAGTTTGTTCCACTAAATAACCTTGGCCTATTTTATTTATATAAAACCAGTTGATTTTGATAAAAATCTTTGAATGACTTCTTTTGAAGAACCAACAGGCTGAGGGTCTTGATATTAGCCAAAAAACATACTGAGATAAAGGGTTTTCAAGTTTGACCTGACCTAAATGACTAATTTTCTTAGTGTTAAGTGAAGAAACCTGATTGATGAATTCAAACAAATTATTGAATATTTCATCAGAGTTTAGTGTATCCCTTGGGAGCCTCAATATACCAACACAGCCTCTTTTCATTTTTAAACAATGTTTGGATAGTGCCACGTTAACTATGCAGGCCGCTCTTACAAAAAATACAACATATTTTACAGTGAAGATCTTATTTCATCTACAACATCAGGAATATAATTAATTAAATAGAACATCATTGAAATTTTAACAATGACATCACCTATGTTTTTGTTGAAATGCATGAGTGTAGGTGCCACCTAGGCCTACACGTGGATGATGAATCCACTGGTGCTTAAAGCATTCCGTGAAAACGCACACAAAGGAACTAGACAGATTGGGCAGAATAGAAAAGTCGAGGATGAGGTATTACGTGGGATATCCCTGTTTAAGGTGCAAGAAAAGATTTTCTTACTTGTTGGCTGTAGGTAATTATAACTTGTTAAAAATTCATTTACAAAGATCATGAAGTGTGTATAATTGAGTCTAAACACAAGACTAGAGTGTGATTCATACTTTTCTTTTTTTCTAGAGGAAACTAACCCGAAAGAAATAGTTAAGACCGACAAGAATACATATCCATCCTTCAAAAACAGTGAGATACCAAGTCAACCATCTGAAATTGAGTTGGACAAACATAGTACAGCAGGTTCCTCAGGTAAATGTACTATGTAAATAAATTCAGATTGAGAATTTACCAAAGACTCGGTTCATGACAGAGACAGCAAATTGTGATTACTGCACAGTATTTAAAAGCTCAGCTCCAAACAAAGCCTCAGATTTACCGAAATTCTCCAACTTAAGAGAAAATGTAAATAGTAATTTCTGAGACAATAAAATTGCAAAAAATAAAGTATGCAAAGAATTGCAAAAGGTGAATTTTTATGTTTTTTCGGAAAAATTGCACAGTGCTAAAATGTCCTGATACATGATGTCCGTTACACTGCCCTCATATGACAGACTCTATCACTACAATTTTCTGCCAGTGATAGGTCACTGGTTAGTTAAAGTTTTGGTCATTATGTAGAGTAATCATTGGCCAAATGGCATCTAGGATACATATATGAGAATTGTGTTTTCAGATATACCATATGTATTCTAAAACAATTTTACATTGCAGGTTTAAAACACAAGATTCTTCAGTTTGCAATTTTCCATGTTTTTAATGGAACTAACCAGACATACTGATGGAAGCTGTGTATAGGACAAGGCCATCCATGAGAACAATGTTGTCTTTAGAAGATATTTGTTGGGATGTTTTTGGGACATTTGACCTGAAGGGTCAAGACGATCTCTAAGTAATTTGAGTTTTGTCAGTGGTCATTAGTCATACATAATTTATAAAATTTTGTAAGTTCCACTTATGATACCCAGGCCAAACTAAGTTTGAGATTGTCCTTAGAAATTATTGCCATATTGATGTATAAGTAAAATAACTATTTGAAATTTCTGAAGTTTCAAGCAGTGTAATTCGATCAACACATACTTGGTTGAAACAACAACGAAAATACAATATCGTACCATCTTGTCAACAGAATATTTATTAAACTCAGCTTTGATGAAACTGATTAATGTATACAGAAGTTTGCTCTATTCCATTATATGTAAACAAGCTTAATTTATAGCAAATCTTTGATAGAAAATTAAGTGATAAAGTAATAAAACTGGTCATCAGTGACAGTTTTGAAGACCAATTGATAAAAAATGTCTGAAAGTGATCATAGATTTTCTCTTCTACATACTGAGATTAACATTTCATGTTTTTAGTGAATTTTTTTATGCAGATTTTAGTGTAGAATTTAGTTTAGATTTTTAGTGTGGTTGGTGTCTTTATGTAACCCATCATTTATTTTAACAAATCTTTATTACTGTTTCACACTAAAATACTTTTAAATTTAGAATGTTTCTCATCACATTTCAAATGGTAAAACTGTTTATATTTATTGTGACAATCACAGAATGTTTTGTTATAGGAATTTTTGTGTTAAGTTATATATGTATATATAACTCTTATATATTCTATATTGATTTAAGCATTCCTAATATCAACATAGTTGTCTGTCTTTCTGAAAATACAAGATGTGTTGATGAAACACCATGCCCCTGGTTGCTACAAAATTCTGAAGTGGGACATTTATACTTTGTTGTGTAAGGCATGTGCTAATTGCATGCACACTTTGTGAAACACATGTTTTCATTGTAGTAATGATTTTTTTTTACAAATGTAGGTCAAATGTCACAGTCAAGGTCACATTTTCAAAAATTTAGGTAAAACCAGAAAGGTCTTGTCACAAGTAACACACATGCCAATATGAAAGATATTTTTTCTATGTAAAGTTGTAAAGATAACATTTTATGGGTAACAATTTGTAGTTAATATCTGTGATTATTAATGTTTTGATATTATCTTAAAAGACTGGGCTCCATATAGTGTATAAAGCAAATGTTAATTAATGATGTCTGCCACTGATGCCAAAACTTGAAATAGGCCTTATTGTCAGTATTGCTCAGAAATGCATTGTTGATTGTTTGAATATATTTTTATAATATGCAATACAATCGTAGTGTCTTAGGAGGAAAAATGTATTGATAGTTATATCCCTTTACTTAATATTTAATGAATGTTACGTCCCCTTCCCAAAATATCATGCAAATATTTACTTTTTTATATTCCCTTCCCAAAGGTAGTTGTACACAGTTTCTCGGTGTGGCTATGCGTGATAGTTTTGTTCATTAGATTACCCCATTATAAAGGTAGTTGTACACAGTTTCTCGGTGTGGCTATGGGTGATAGTTTTGTTCGTTAGATTGCCCCATTATAAAGGTAGTTGTACACAGTTTCTCGGTGTGGCTATGGGTGATAGTTTTGTCCATTAGATTACCCCATTATAAAGGTAGTTGTACACAGTTTCTCGGTGTGGCTATGCGTGATAGTTTTGTTCGTTAGATTACCCCATTATAAAGGTAGTTGTACACAGTTTCTCGGTGTGGCTATGGGTGATAGTTTTGTCCATTAGATTGCCCCATTATAAAGGTAGTTGTACACAGTTTCTCCGTGTGGCTATGGGTGATAGTTTTGTGCATTAGATTACCCCATTATAAAGGTAGTTGTACACAGTTTCTCAGTGTGGCTATGCGTGATAGTTTTGTTCATTAGATTGCCCCATTATAAAGGTAGTTGTACACAGTTTCTCGGTGTGGCTATGGGTGATAGTTTTGTTCATTAGATTACCCCATTATAAAGGTAGTTGTACACAGTTTCTCGGTGTGGCTATGGGTGATAGTTTTGTTCATTAGATTACCCCATTATAAAGGTAGTTGTACACAGTTTCTCGGTGTGGCTATGGGTGATACTTTTGTTCATTAGATTACCCCATTATAAAGGTTTTCTTTAGAATTTATATAAATCCTTGCTAAAATTGGTCTTGTCATGTTTAAGTGGACAATGTGGGGTTTCATTTTTTTCAGAATAATATTTAATCTTTGTGTTTGAGATTACTATTTGTGCAGTCTCGAATCTGTGTCTACGCACCAAAAACTAGCTTTACAGGAAGTGGAATTTTCATTGTGTTTACATGGGGTCATGTCATGTTGCTGAAGTGTAAGTAGTTTGTTACCATGACAGTGTTATGTTGATATTAAGACAGGTGTTTAGAATAAATTTCTTCTCTAAAGTTGAAGTGTAAGGTTGGAATTAGCAGTATTTTTGCTGTAGGTAACAATAGCAATCACATGTCAGAAATCAGAGGAAATTTTTTATTTACACAACTTTTATTTCTCTACTATTAATATAATTGTTATGTAGTTTATGAATATGTATACATGTAATGATGATTTTTTTCATAACCAAACTTCTATACTTGTTTATCTCAAACATGAACAATAATTTCAGGAAAAATGCAAATCAACTGTTTCCTACCATCAAAATATCATAGAATATTTACTTTTTAATATTCTCTTCCCAAAATATCATATCAAGACATTATCATATATTTTTGATTCTCAAATTTGTGAATTTTAATTGAAATAATTTGGACTTCAAAACTGTTTTCTAACAATTGAGATCACTTTGCATTGATGCATCTGATAACACAAGCAGGAAATAACTCTGGAAAAAATATGAAAGTCCCTAGCTTGCTTTCATATCACGGTCATATCAATCATTGTTAAATAATTTTCTGACGTCTGTGTCCTCAGTACTTCGGTACTTTGATTTTGATTTTGGTTGACTCTAAATGTTGAAGTGTCATACTGGAAGTTTTTACTTGCAGAAGAAATATATCTTGATATTTTTTTATTACATTTTTTGTGGTTGCAATTGTTTGACAGCAGATAACGGGGCGATGTTAGACTGTTTTGGGCCTCACACAGAAAGAGCTATTTATATTTACTTTTTTTATTGTTGCTTGGTCTGCTTCCTTATCCATACATTTTCCCGATAGCTTGTCGGACATTGATACCCGATCGGTAGAACTCATCGTCTTACCAGCCCACAACAGCAGCCCTCATCTTCAATATATCTACACAATATCGTCAAATTTCAGGTCAGAAAGTGGTCCTTTCGTCAGTTATGGAAAGAGGTGAAGATACAAGGGACTTAGTTTGAAGAATGCAGAGGTTGGGTGAGGTTCTTGGTCACAATGTTACACAGCTTCAATCACAGCTTGGTTGGTGTGGAGTGGTACGTTATGCGGTTAAATTCAGATTTGAATCCCTCGACGGATTTGTTGTGTGTATGGATCCATAAGAAAGGCCTGTTGCAAAAGAAAGGAAAAAGAATGCCCGTAAACGGTCTTCATTCTTTCAACCTGTCCTGGCGGATTGGCTCCTCAGAATGAGGAACCTCAGCACCACTTTAATACTCATTTGTGTCCCATTAATTAAGTTATAGAGAGTGTGTCTCTCCAACAGAGTGTTGCGAGTGTTACAGCCTGTAATATGATCCTATAAAACCAGTAACTAAGACAAGATGTATAAGTAGGTGTGATGATTTTTTTATCATCCCACAGGCAAAATGTGTGAAGCTCAAAACCGTATCATCGTCTCGTATATGATATAATCTTATGAATTATTTCGAAGTCAATTTTTGTCATGGTTGTATTATGCCATGCATGTATATATATTTGATAAGATATGACATGTGCCATGTGAATAAATAATTGAATAAATAAAACAAACTTTCACTACGTATATTTGTGTAATTTTATAAAAACATGACATAATAAAATATATTTTACAAAAGAAACGTGTAGTGTTATTGTTTCTTCGACAAAAAGGGTTATCAAAATTCGTATTTCAGTGAAATATGGTAAATTAGGGATCAATAATATCTGCTTATGGATGTTTAAGTTCCTACAGAAATCGCACATCCTGTTTGTTGTCGAAATGCTACAAACCTATAATAGTACCTTCCATGTCAAACACTGAAGATATCGAAACAATTCAACGTTCTAAAAACTCTTCGGAAGTCGAGAGAATATTTCCTGACCAGAAATCTACTGACAATATCTTTGTAAAATGACATAAGTAGTTTGTATGCTTGTTGTTTGTTGTTTACTTGAATACATAACGATAATGCAGACCAAACTTATTCTTATTTTCCGTGGAAACACAGTCCGTCACGGGTAGGGAGCGTCCGATAAAACACCTCGGATCTTCACCCGAGGTAAGGAAAGCATTGACTGGAACCCAAAAAGAAAACATTACCAGCTAGTAATGAATCAATGAAATTTTACTGTAGGTAGCAATAAATAATTGATTACTGTATACTTGTGTATTGTGGTGTTACTGGGTGATCGGACGGTGGTAACCCACCTGCCTTGCACCTAAACGTTCGGGTTTCTGTTCCCCGAGCGGATGTGAAAAGTCACAGGGGTCACGTGGGCGAATACCTGGATTTTCAACAGGTATTCGTTTCCTCCACAGTATGACCTTCGCGATCTTCCATCCGGGCCAACAGGAATGATTAATGTAAGTTGATAACTTGTTTCGCAATTGTTGTAAAAGAAATTGTTATATACTTGTGAACTGGATAAAACCATTTCATTTCGTTTTTCAAAATTCGTGGTTTCAGGAAACACATTTTCAAGATTGGGGTACCAGTGTAATCAATGACCCCCTTAATTTAGTCCAATACTTTTAGCGTAAAAGTACTGAAATGAGATTGCTGTTATATGTACGTCTACAGTCTTAGGTATTTGAAAAATCACACCAACCAACATCACATCTATACTGAATCAGTACATTGTAAAGTCATTTGTCCTCGGGACTTGCCTGCGTGGTGTAATGGACTTATGTTAATCTGATGATCGAATCGTTTGTTTGGTGTTTAATTATAACCAAGCCAGTGTATAAGTACAGGAGGTACAGACGGATCACCCGTGGGATATACATCGTAAAGGTGGTACAGACGGATCACCCGTGGGATATACATGGTGAAAGATGTTGACACTTTCCATTATGTTTAATTCACAGAAACGTTACGGTAGCCAGCAAGGGCAAATGTTTCAAATAACGTTTTGTATGACTGGTAATTTTTCTAGTCTTCTCTGCTGAATATCACATAAAAATTCAGACAAGAACAAAACGAATGAGAAAACAGAGATGAAAGTAAAATATAGGACCATTTTATGTTTAAGTGACGTGACGTCATTTAATGTCACTTGCTAATGCTTTTGTATTTGAATCTAATCCTTTTGCTATAATGCAGTTCCTGCTATTTTTCATTAACGAAACAAAATAATCCGATAATATGTGACAATGACTTGTTAGCTTAAGACATGAGTTAATGAACTGATGTTCAAAATTGGACGTCCTTTGGGGGAAAAAAAGTTTTTTAGCTGACGTAGCAGAAAGCGGATGTTTTCGGGTCTTGGAATAATTTTATCTGTTGTCTCCGTTTTTAGGGAATCATATAATTAACAAGCGTATGACGTCATTAAATTATGATGTGATGACGTCATAAATTCACAAACTCCTTACACTATGGTCATAGCAACAACGTGACAAGTACAGTAAAACATATTTTCAGAAAATGCGATGCTTGGCGCTGCCATAATTCCATACATTTTACACACATACTACTTAAAAAAACATACGCGCTTAAACTGAAATAACATCAGAATTGTTAAACTACTGCATTCAGTTTGGAAACCGTGGTTGTGATATCTTTTTATTTATATATTTATTTATTTATCTTATTTTGAATCATTTTAACATGTATTAATTGTAATAGCTGTAAGGCAATTAAGTGGACCTGGTTGTGCTTATGAATGGTAAGTATAAATATTGCAGATATTTGTTATTTAATATATATTTCTTAATTATAATCTTATATAATAATTCAAATGTAAATTGATAGATATTGCATTATTCAGCGCATGTGATGCTGGGTTTCCATGGCAATAGAGAAATATTCCATAGCTATAAGTATTTATCACATAATATAATATATACTTATATAATGTTCCGAGGCTCTTCTCAAACATATTAAACATAAACTTGTTTTACTTATTTAGCATGCACACCGTAAATGCTATTTTATGTTAGGAAATTTTCATTCTTGTCATCACTAAGCAGAAACAGGAACTTAGGGTACAGTTTTTCTTAGTTGTTAGGAAATATACGATATGCAATCTGCAGTTTACCGAGATGGAATAAGTAGCTATTAAAAGTTGTTAGATTTTATACTGTAAAATTAACAGAATGTCACATTATTCTAATGTTTTCTTTTTCTTTAGCTTTTTCATACAGATACCTAACACAGAAATCAATGATGAGGAGAAGAAAAGTACGTAATTTCGTGTTGTGTGTATCAATGATCTCCTATGTGATATTGTTAATATTTAAATGCTTCGTTGTCCTCTCAACGATGACAAATATTGATGAAGACAATGTGACTGTTCAAAGCCAAGCTGGAAACGCATATCTGCTGCCGGGAACAACTTTGAAACAACATCTGGGAAACAGGATATATAATCAAGCCCACAAGATGGCGCTGTTGGTACCGTTTAGAAACTGTAGCGAAGAATTGAATCAATTTGCTCCATACATTGAAACGTTTCTGAACAACCAAAAAATCGCTCACACGATCTATGTAATTAATCAAACGGATGCTTACAGGTGAGTCGATCTCATTAGGACGAAGGGATTTTAAAAGGAAGATATGGGCCCCATTCCTAATGGGGAAAAAACTATTAGTGTTGTTCAGTGTGGAGCGTACTAGCACTGATGTACGAAGTGTACGAAATGGTACGGAATCAACAAATTTTTCCGGCTGCAGTTTAATCCTATGTACAATTAGGATGAAAATAATGTGACGAAATGGTAAACAGATTATAGACCAAAAATACAGCTGATGGTAACAATGTACTGTAGGTATATTTTAGCACGTGTGCGTTAATTCGACAGAATTACTTTCTGAATTTACTTATATATTACGTTTGAAAATATGAATAACTGTTGAAACTAGCATTTTATTTCAATTATTATGGCGTGTACCATCAGGCAAAATTCAATGTCAGGTAAACACAAATTGAACAAAACTGTTGAAGTTTTGATGGTCTGATTTTAAGTCAGTGTTGCGGGATAAAGAGAATACATGGTGAGTGTCTTAAGATATAAAATGTATTTTGAGTCGGGACAGAAATACAACAGTGGCTCGCCAGAGGCTCTCCACATTTTGTTCTGCTGTATCTAAATCTTAATTTATTTGTATTACGAGGTGCTTTTGTATGTATTTGTATTATTTTCGTGAACATTATTTGTGTACGTTTTATACTAACTCTTAAGAATATCTCTTAAAAAGTATTTTTGTCACTTTGGAAAGCTTGCATCATCTGAACAGATGTACGACCTTCTTATTTACAATAACACGATCTTCTAATTTTCCCAGCTTCAATCGAGCGACACTGATCAACGTCGGGTTTCTAGAGAGCGATCCTAACTGTGATTACATCGCCATGCATGACGTTGATTTGTTGCCTCTCAACCCACTGCTAAACTACAGCTTCCCTTCGGAAGGTCCATATCACGTCTCCTCTCCCAAACTACATCCAAAATACCATTACCCATCATTCATCGGGGGAATACTGCTGATAACAAGAAAGCATTTTGAGAGTGTAAGATTTAAGCATCAGATGCTAACACTTCTGGAACGCCTGATCATATTTTCTTTGTACTTTTCCCCATGGAATTTCGATTTAAGTCTTTCTTTTCTTTACATTTTGCTTAAGTTTCGTCGGATTGAAGTTTGAATGAACATTTTATTGACATATATTTCCTTTCTCCTTTTTGTTGCTAGTTCATAAAATCAATTAATCAAACAATACAAAAGTTTTTTACAGAGCGGCAGTATGGAATAAAGATACATGAAATAAAATAGAATATTTCGCTTCAGGCATCCGACATTAAACGTACTCTTTTTGTCATTTTTACAGGTAAATGGGATGTCAAATCTATTCTGGGGTTGGGGAGGAGAAGACGACGAGTTTGGCTTGCGGTTATTGCATTTTGGAATGAAGGTATGCATAATCTAAAGCAATAAGATAATACGCTGTAATTAAAGGACCATTACGATAAAAATATTGTTATTAACATATTTTTACATTCTAATTTAGGTCATGATTCTGCTTTAGTATTCTCCTTTCGATGTCCTACCTAAATTGTCCTAGGAACCCCTCTAAACATAGCACCCGCAATGTACATACTCGGGCAGATTGAAATAGAGATACTGTTGAGAGATTGTCTTAATAATAACAATTTCATACATAACCACTCTTCACAATTATGTGTCCTCGTGTGAGCTAGACAGATACACAAACGAGCTGCGCAAGCATACTTCACGGTATAGTACAACAAGTATTAGTGGATTAAAACAACCGTTGTGAATATTTTCGATAAATCCCTGAGTGCTCTCTTTAGGGGATTTAAAAATAAAGTTATTTGTGGGTATGTACACCGACTATCAATTGTCAATTATTCAATATTACAGGTGAGACATCCAGTAGATGTAAAGACCGGCGTTCGAGACACTTTTCGGCATATTCATAATTCGAAGAAAAGACCTCGAGATCAATATCGGTACCACAAGCAAGGCTTTGTAAGTAACTTTTGATTGATTTATATCACGTGATATTTCTTTTATCCGGAGAAATGATTGTAAACCTGCTTATTTTTGCACAATCAAACTAAAGCGCGATATCATTGTTTAGCAAATAAGGACCACCAATATTTCGCACATTTCGCAATAACTGCCATAGAAACAACATTAATAAACTGCGGTAGTTGTAATAATATTTTAGCGCAATATCCTAAGCGCTAAAATAAGATTACCGCTAAATATATGTACATTTACAGTATATCCATGAAATAATATATATTTTTGCGTACTGCCTCTTAAAGCTTCCCATTTGTGACGCTAGGATAAATGAACTGACGTCATACATTTACAGATTTCATTGTGACGTCACAAACCATTAAGATGAAGCCGAATGAATTTCTGCATAATGTGCCGAAAATTATCATGTGACCGAAACTATTTACAAGTGGTAAACGTCTTCCTAGCCCTTTTGATTTTACCAGTTCAAATGACTGTTTTAACTTCGTGTCATGTTTACAATGAAATTCTAATATGAATTTTATCCATTCTTTTGTTGCCAGAAAAGAAATAGAATGGACCTTTCATCCGGAATAGATAATATCGTATATACTATAGAAAGTCGGTTTACAAAAACCTGTAATGGCACTGACGTCAAATTTATCAACGTACGCTTATTTTGTGACGTAAACAGCACACCTTTGTGCATCCAGGATAAAAATCATCTGTTGAAAACATGAACGCAAAGGCTAATTTGATAACAATCTTGGTGAGAAAAGAGTAAGAAATTGTTGTACAAAACGTTATGACTTGCCAAAGATGTATTACCACCATGGCGGCTGGGCATGCGCATTATCACCTTTTAGGATTTCCATGCAACCCTTTTACGTGTGTATATTTTCAGTAACATGCAAAAGTTGCAAAATACATATCTTTTCAGAGTTATTTCAATGAGGTCGTCTTTTTCTTCTTTGACGTTAACTATTGCAAAATGAAGACATTAGTGTTTCAAAAAATGTGCATGCAATTAACACATGCCTTACACACTACAGATTTAATGTACCTCTTCAGAATTTTGTTGCAACTGTGGACATAGTGTTTCATAAACACATCTTGTTTCTCCTCTGACCAATCAAATTATTTCCCTTGCGCCTTCGATTTTGCCATGACATGTTCTATGTGTGTAGAGATCGTAAGTGATTGTAAACCCTGGAATATCGAGGATGGAAGGACAAGGAACATCACAAGCGTGTAACGAGATTGTTGAATCAGTGAAAGAAGAATGATAACTTTTGTACATGTGTACGTCGGTGGAACAGAAGGTACTTACTCTTCTGGAACATCTGGTATTCTCCTTGTACAATTTGAGGAGTCTCTGTGCAAATCTTTCTTTTGTTCATATTTTGAAATAATTTTATTGAAGACGAGTAAGATTATGATTATGGCCACATGATGGTGTTTTTTTGTTGTTTGTCATTTGCCGTTCAGTCAGGGTATATCTTTAACAAGTCTGTTTAGTGTTTTTAAGTATTATCCAATAATATATATTTGTCTTGGTGTTTTGTGCATTTCGTATAATTTCTGTGTGATGATATAGGAAACAACATAAAAAGATGAAAGGAATTATTTTATGTACAAACGTGGCTGTTTAAGATTTGATCGGTTACGTGAGATTCAACGGGTAAATCTATTTTGATTAAGCAACTGCATCTCTTCAGATTCTCATCATTATATTCAATAAGTGAATGAATAAATAATTAAATGCAATGCAAATTAACACCACATTCAATCTGCATGCAATCACTGGATAACATAACTTAGTGTTGTGTGTTGGGGGATCGCTGGGCTGTGAAGGGAAAACCTCAGAAGCGTGACCTATATATAAGCCATTTCGTTCTACTCCACCAGCTCAACATAAAAACCTAAAGCGGACATACTTGTCCGGAATCAGGTAGAAATAAGTAAAACAATTATAAAACAAAAATAAAATATCCGGAATGGTGTTACTTCCCCCTAAACCGTAAATAGTATAGTTTGATATCTCACCTACCAGTATATCATACACATACCATTACATTTGATGATGCCTTAAAGCTATATTGATGATTGGAGTCGTGATATGTCCTTGACTCCACCAGTTAGATGTTAAAAACGTTGATACAGTCACGGCTGGTTGAAATTGCAGGAAAAGCAAAATTGTAAACACTTCCTTCAGTGAGACTAGATAATGATTGAACATAATAGGAGAAAAACAATCGTAGGTGTGAAGACGAAATACCCACTAAAGGGGCAAAGTATTGAATGTCAAAACCCCGACAGAGGTTCGGGTTGGCCATTCAAGAATCCCTCTTTGAATGAAGATTCTCTTGTGCCACCCCATGGTAAATGAGAATAATATATTAAATCCTATCAGAAACCACTGATATTATAATCGTTCTTTAAGAAACAATTGAAAGGTTTAGTAAGTTTTGGAACTTGTGCTTTACAGTAATGCTGTTACAAAGGCAATATTTCATCTTTATATAATCCGTAAAAACAATCTGACCTCACTAAGCAAACTCACACAACATACGTGTATGAGCATAACTTCGAGTTCTATTACTGTATGATGAAAATGTTACTTTATGGTTTTTTTTCAAAATGACAGTAATATACAATGTACATGGAAAGGAAATGGAAGTTTGTGGAGGTAAAATATTTAGATGAACCATTGCCGAGTCTAAAAGAGACGACTTTAAATTTTACACATACGTTGTAAATAAGTCCTATCTTACACCATTTATTTATTGGTACTTTCAAAATTCAAGTAGAATAGCGATTAAATTGCATACCGTGCGCACAGATGTGCGACAGCAGATTTCGGTTTACTATCGTGCGATTCCAAGTTTTTACGTATATAGCAGCACACACGGGATTGTTCCAATATGCATATAATATTTCTCTCTTAAGTTTTGAGAAAATCAGGTTTAAAAAGCTCAGGATAAGTAAACTGGTCATGTATAAATGATGTTAGAAGTAGACCGCAAAATCAATCATCGTACCACATGGCGACATCAAAATGATATTTACTGTTGCTTCCATCAACAACTACTTGTTTAAAGTGTTTAAATGTAAGGAACACATTTAAATATCTAATGGTTTTTTTAACGTACTTCCCCATTTTGTGTTTGGTATTTCTTCCAAGTGTTTTGTTCAATGTCCTCCTTGGTTTCATCTTTTCTGCAATTTTACAAATCATTTTACATTTTCACTGAACCTTTCTAAATAAATCGAGAATTCGATATGAACGCTTGGCCATTTTCTGCATGTCAGACTAAATTATGAGCTGATCTTACCACTGATCTTATTTCAAGTATGAATCATAAATAATGTTTTGATACTCTCATACATGTTAATGTATTTTTTTATGTCAAATATATCTATAGTCACCACACGATCCAACCTTGAAAGTGTTTCACTGTACCATCCTTCATGTTAGTCTGGATATTGACGTAAAAATTGTAACAATAACTGTATATTTGTATTGTCAGTATTGTAATGTCAATAACTTGTGTCTAATCCTTTGTCCATTTTGTGGCAACAAATATGTTTAACTATCAAAAAACTTAATATTTCAATATACATTGAGGCTTGTAAAGGAAGATCACGCATTCCAATAGTAAACCTTTAACATTTTAATTGCCCATGAGATATTAAAAAAGTGGTATTGGTTCAAGTTGCTGAAATAGCAAAATGCAATTAAAGTTGGCGATTCTAGTATATATAATATAAAACAATGTGGCAGGTAAAGAAATGGTCCAAACAGATACCAGTTACCTTTTTGTAATTAAAGAACTTTGAATCATCTTTTGATTTTTAACTGTTGTAGAAGTTTTAAGTTTCACTACTTTAGTAAAGTTTTGTTTCATTATTATAACATAAAATTGCTACAATGACGTAATGTCCCATTATGTTAAAATTCCATGTTTATTACTTTCCTCCCTTTGACCTGGAATGAAAACGACCAGTTCTGCCAAGATGGCCATCAGTGAAAATTTTTCATCCCATCGATGTACTTTCACACGTTAAGATGCCTTATTCGTTCTGTTTAATGTCTGTGATAATGTCCGAGAAAGTTAGTGAATAAAAATGACCTTGACCTGCATTCAAAGTCACGGGGATAATAATTGTCTTCTAGATAAAAGTAATCAGTTTTAGGTGGTTAATTTTTCGAATCAGCTCAATTTAACAGAATTTTGACACATTCGGATGGTTAATGAAGTGAGATGAGAGTGTAAATCATTGAATACCAAGTGGGCGATGTGGACCCGCTGGGCCTCTTGCTTTGGTCGAATTAACCATGGATTATTTTCATTGGTTAAACTATGGGTTAAGATTCATTACGCGCCAAACTGTTTCCTGTCGCGCATGTTTTTGATTTTTTTTATTCTATCAAGTGCAGCTATCAATATCGACAAATGCGAAAATACGATTGGACAAAGGAACTAGACTTCAAGGAGTCTATGTCCAATTATCAAATTTTAGCTGATTAATTGATGAAAATTGTTTGGTTCTTTCTCCAAGACAAATCGCCCTCCAAAAGATCTTAAGACCGGAAGGAATACTTTTCGCGACCTTCACAAAGATCGACATCGAGACATGGAATAACATTCCAGGGGAAAGAGAGTAAGCTTAAGTATTTCGCCTGTTTTTAATGTTAATGTATCTAATTTGTAATATTTATTTAACAGACAGAGGGCAAAGGATGGATTTTTCGTAAGCAGATACAGTTTGCTGTGTTAGAATATGTAGTAATGAAAAAAGGGCGGGTGGGGGCAGGGCATATTATTTAATATTAGTGAAGCTTTCTAGGCAATTAATTGTTACATTTCATCAAGAAAACCACTTCGTCAACATGTTATCAAGTTGTTTTCTTTCACTCTGATGTCAGTGTATCAGAATTTTGAATTACTGTAAAAATCATACATTTTGTTATTCTAAAATCTCGAGGTTTTACAAAAGTA